GGGGGGGAGTGATGCTCGTGATGACGGGGAATGCCGGTCGCATTGGGGTAGGATCGTCGCTTAATCGTCCTGTTTAATCGGCACTGCAATTCCATTTTCTAACATAAGAGAAAGTCGGTCGAGATCGTACGATTAATTGACATGTCTCAGTCTCTGTGGAGAGAATTCTCAAAATCGAATTTCATTGAACGAATTTTCCTCTTCGTGTTTGCTTGTTTTCGTGGATAAGGAACTGCTATGCGATCGGAATTCCCTCGTCACGCATACGAGATGTAGAGTGAATTCTAGCTTCATTGAACAATGTTATTTATTTACTGTTGGGTTTTTATATTGCTTGTGTTCTGACTGAGAATTTCGGCACAAAGATGAAAATTAAATTAATTAGTAGTTCTCTCAAATTCCTAGGAAAGTAGAGATTAGATCATTGTGCCGCGAAGCTCACGCGATTAACGGATTCGCCGGTGTACACGCGATACGCCCACGTTTGTTTGTTTGTAATGAAAACAAGTGGCGCGCTTCTCGCTACGTGATCGCATTAATTGTCTAAAGAGAAAAATCGCTGGTACATTTAGGAGTAATAAAATCTCCAATGCAATTAAGTAATCTTTACGTGTTGTGTATAATTCATTATAGTATTATTTTTAAAAGAGAAGCAAGAAATGAAGTTTGATTACAAATCAGTATTATTGAAAAATTGACTCTAGATAATTGAAATTTCTGGATATCTAAATAAAATATTGCTTAAGTGTCAATTATTGTGCACATAATATTTGCTAATTTTTTGCCTTGAAATTTAGGATTTATTATGTACCTTTCAATTTTGGGAAAAAATATAATTTAACAAAATTATTAATCAAATAGCGCGCGCGCACACTTTATGCATTATCTTAGAAATTATCTAATATCTCTTCGGAATTAACACACAAATTTATTTATAGTAATATATATATATATATATATATATATATAATATATAAATAAATTTAATAGTTATACATTTTTAATCGGGAGTTTACCGTTTCAAGAGAAGCAGAAGGAGGGCACGATTTAACCCTTCATACATCTTTCTCTCAGCGGGAGAGGTAACTACCGCTCTCTAGGACAATTTGTTTTAAAAAATTTTTATATAAAAAATCAAAGCGTTTCGTGTCAGCAAAATATGATAAACAAATAAAACAGCAAGTGATATCTGTATTTAAAAGCCGATACTTAACAATCGCGCGGTTGAGATTCTCTTTCTTTAGCTAAAAATAGCGCTGGAAAACAAAAATATCCTTACAAGAATATTCTATTAGGTCTAGAATATCTTAAGAATATTTACCTCGATGAAAACAATATCATTTCGAACTTTATGTGTGTACGTGTGCATGTATTATCAACATACTGCCCGACGTACGCACCGACGTCATTCCGCGAATATAATCTAGCCTGTTAGCACAATGGGAAGGGAGAGGGGGAGGAAAGTGCGCTTGCACTCTTGGGCACTTACAAGAAAGGATAAAAAAATTTCAATTAAAAACTAGCTCCATCATTCAAGAGCTATCTATATATATATTTTCACGCCAGCTCATCTCAGGGTAAACAATTTCTCCCGACGCTGCTGACGTCGATATCGTCTATCGATGACGTTTCGCGGCTGCAGCTAACATTAAGAGGCATTAGGCCTACTCTTATTAATTATGAAACATGAGGAGTAGTTGAAGGCCGGCGGGAAACACGTGGACGTTACGAAGACGTTTCCTTTCAGGGCGTGATCGATGAAAAACGATGAGCTTCGCGTAAACCGGTGCACCCTTGCAAAAAAAAAGACTTTAATGCGGTTGTTCCCCGAAACATTTGATTTTTTTTATCAGAAAAGATTTTTTAAGAAAGATACATACAATTTCATGTTTTCTTCGCACGAAAAGACCATCGAAGGCTCAGATTACGAATTTATGATGGTGGAGCGAGAGAGATTCAGAAAGAACATAAGTCCTTCCCTTTATGCCTTCAGCCACTTTACGGGACAACAAATAATTTCGGGACACCCAGTGTGCCCGCAATTGAAGGCAACGAGTGCCTCGCGTCACGAATGCACTCTGTTGAGTTAAACAAGCTACGAAAAACCTGTTGGTCGCGTCCTCGTGGTCGGGCGTGGTGTGCCAAGAAGATGTGTGTCCAGTGGTTACTCTCTCTCGATCGCTCAAGTCGCGAGATGTTTGCTAATTATAAACGTCTCGCCGTCGAGCCTCTTATTCCCTTTGTCAATGAAAAACGAGTTCTGACCGCTAGACTCGTGCGACTCGGTGAATTCGCGACTGTCGATCATCTATTGGATACGACACTGCGCGTGAAATTGCACATTGCATAATCCTGCGTTTGAATTCCACGCTTAACCGAGGACGTAGACAAAATTTAATGACTGCAACGGCAATAACTGCAATAGCTCGAATTGTCAACGACGAATTAATTGTCAATTAATAATAGTAAAAATTAAAACTGAACTATTGGTCGTAGCGAATTTGTCACATATTAATCAAAAATGGTAACGTTTGTTTATTGTGATTATTTATTCGATGAATTAACAGAACTTTGATCTTTTAATTTAAACTGATATTTATTTATTATATATAAATATAAAGTTTTTTGAAATTAATTAAAATTGCATGGCAAAGTTAAATTTGCTTTCAATTATTCGCGTTTCGAATATTTTATTCGACAAATTATTAATGAAAAAATTATAAATTTATGTAAATATATATATATAATTATATATAATTATATATAATTAAATTCTTCTTCATGTTGGATGAGAATTCGATGCATCTGGAAATATATTTTACGATCGACTGTCCGAGATGGATGACTCCTGATGCGATCGTTAGCACTCTCTATTTAACTCTTTCATGACATCGTCCCACGATGATAAATGATTCGATGTCATTCGAATGTCGTGCATTTCCTTTTCTACGATTTGTTGAAAGTGACGCGAGATTTTCGATCACTGCAAAAGCTGCAGTATCGGTCATTAATGTGTTCACAAAAAAAGTAGAAACGATAAACTTTGGACAGAAATTAACTAATTTTTTAATAATGCTTGTGTTTAATGAGATAATAAAAATCTTTTATTAATTTCCGTTTGATATAATCCTATACATTACAATCGTAATGTGTAGGTATGACACATTGTGTACGAGTATGTTAATAATTTAATAAGTCAAAGGCTATCCGTTATACAATATTAAGTGAAAACAACGCGTTATAGGCAGACGGGCTAGAATTAACGGGCGGGGTACGCGATCGATTCTACGATAACTCGAGATCGGGCGCGGGCCTTCACTTTGAGAATACCACCGGATATATCCGATAACGATCTTCACGTCGAATATCGACCGCTTTCTCACGACTGTTGACGCGTAATTGTTATAAATGTTTCACGTGCGATAAAGTCAAGCGTCCACTTGAATCGGCATGGGCTGCTAATCTGTGATTAATCGCCAATGGAGCGAATACTATTGA